ACATTCACAGTGTTAAAGCATCCGTTCTCTTAGTGAATTTTTTTTTCTCTGACTTCATAACCATCGCACCGCTGAAAACAATCACAGTTCTAATTGAATATTGTTCCCTACTTCGAGGTAACTTTCCTGCAATTCACCTACGCCTTCTTGTACCACTCTGTTCATACTGTAAAATTACACAGTCTTCATTATCAAAGCTTTGGAAGGTGTGGAATTGTTCGAAAAGGGGTAGCCATACCATGTGAGAAGTTGTCGCAATAACTTAAAATGAGGGTTGTGGAAAAACGTTCCAAGGGGTATCAGTTCCAGTTGACCGGAAGGATGTGGGCAGTCAGGCGTGTGAATGCATTCCACGGCTGACATGGCACGGAGTGCAATCACAGCCTGGTTGGAGTGGTAGTCCAGATTTGCCGAGAGTGTATACAAAACAAAAGCTGAGATGAGGGGTCTTTTTCGTGAATCGTGTAGAACATCTCATTCTGAGGTTTGGATGCATTTGGTCGGTCGATCGAATCGTTTTTTATTTCAGTGTCTGCATCAATACATCATCCAGCGTTCTCCGTTGATCAGCGTATTCGTATGGTACACGCTCGTGATGACATACGAAGAAAATTGGAGCAAATCACGACTCGGTTGAATCCACCGGTGGTCGCTTCGTCCACATCAAATGATCAGAAGTCCACATCAACGGTCTGTAGAGTATCACCTTTGGCTGGTGGATTTGCTTTTGTTCGTCGATTTCATGCCACCCAGCCAGACGTCAATGATCCAGATAACTTTCTCGTCGAGGTGAGTTATGCTTTCTATACTTTCAATCGTCTTAGTTAACCTTTTACCGCCTTTTCAGATGATTTGGAGTGACGGTGAGCGTACCTTTGTTGGCCGCACTCGGAACGATATTAACACGCTGCACCATCGTCTTCTGGACATGTTCGGTGAAGAACGACGAGAAATGAAACAAGCTCAGGATGCAGAAACAGAACGGCCAGAGTCTGCATCATCTTCACGTACCCCGTCCCCCACCGCAACTGATTCTAATGCTACTCCAACTCCTGCTCTTGGTATGACCGTTTGATATGGCTTGAATTCACTGCTAATTCTACTTTTAATTCTTAAGGAACGTCAGCATTGCGGATATTACCGTATTTCTCAATGGATTGCTCACCTGCCGCTGTTATTCAGTATATAAATGCTCTGTCAGACTTACCGGCGCGAATGATGCTCAGTTCGGTTATTTATGAGCAGTTCTTCTCCTCGAGGCTGAGTTCCGAGGAACTTGAGGTAATTCCTATTCATAGGATAGAGACCATTTGAAAAAAAAAAGTTCCGGAAAAAATAGTTCAGTATTTATTGTTGGAGTTTCTGTTTTTTTTTTTCTTGGAACATACCCTAGAATTATTACTAAAAGGTCTTAAGGATTTTTTTGAACTTTCGCTGCGGAAAACCGAAAATTTTTTGAACAAGGCATCAGAAGAAAGATAACTTTCTCGTGATCTCCGCTTTGTATAAGAGATTACCTACGTTAAGACGTATTCCTTTGATTAATAATAATTAGCAATTTGCGCTATTAATATGATCTAATGGTCAGGTGGCAGAGCGTCCCACGCGGACAGCTTCACCCTCCTTGCAGCGCTATGCCCATCCGGCATCTGCCCCACCAACATTCCCTGTTGCATCGGCTGCACTAGCGTACAGTTCCCGTGGAATGGGAATTCAGGTAATTGCCTACAGCATCCGAAAGTCTTATTTTTTATATTTGTTTGCTTCGGAATACATCAAATTCGAGAAACAGTTGCAAAATTAGTTGCATGAAGCGCAATCAAAGTATTCAGCATCTTTAGTGTTACGAGTGTTTGTGAAACGTCCTACCACTTAAATCGTTTTGCTCTATTATTCACCAGTGATGAAACCACATCTGCAACCACCTAGACATGTAGACTACCCACAGTATGCTTGCATCTAGTCCACACTATTGTCCCATTACAGGAGTCAAATTCGGAACCAAACGACGAAGTTCAAGCACTGGAAAAAATTCCTCAGGCTCAGGTATTTGCGAAATGAGTCCCTCAATCTAGATGTTTAGTCTAGGTTTTCCTAAGGCCGTATTCTGGCGCTACTTAACTGCGGTTGGCTAGATCTGGCCTGATTATGAGGGGGACACGCTGGACAGGGGCGAAGTGCAAGCAAAGTTAGATAGGAACAGTGGTAAAAGTGGCACCAGGGTGACTGATTGCCTCAATAGACTTTTACCGCTGACATATCATGAGTGCGCCGGAATGCGGCTCATGACTTAGATAGTGTTCATACTTTTTTCCCGGATCCCTTGCGCAAATTGCACGTTCTATTCGTTAAGACTAATTTGTGTTGACATGCACGTTTTTGATGTATAATGTTTCTGTACGATCTTGCCTTGGATTGTTCGTAGAAGTCTGTTTTCTTGGTGATTCACACTTTTTCTTGTTCTTTTCAGCGTGTTTGTATTAATACTAACACTGTTTTGCCATTTCACCAGTTTTTTCTATAACCGTATAAAAATTGGTTTCAGTTGGTTAAGTTCAAGGTTTCAAAATATGTGTTTTACCTTTAATCTGCTATCAGTTTTACTCATGGGTATGCTTTAAGGTGCAATTTCCGTCATGCAGTAATTGCGCTGGTCCGCACGCCTTCGTTCAGTGTACCAAAGATACTCCGTTGCAGAAAGATGGTAAGGATTTGTTTTGATTTTGACTATTATTACTTTGCCTATTCATTACTTTCTATTTAAAAACCCCTGATGAGAAGTTGTTCCGATTTCATGTAGCATGCAGCTGAATGGCTTTTTCAAAATAGTTCACTAACAGCCATAGGGCAAGTGACGGCTGCTCAAGCTGGCCGGATTTGCTCTCACCTACCGTAGGGCCACCAGTGATCTAGTCTAGACTATTGCCGAGTTTCTCGTATTAGGGGGTTCCAAATGCTTGGAAGGAGTTGAGTAATCCCATCCATTCGCCCACGCCGGCAACTTGTACAACGGCGAGCATAAAATTTGTTTCGTTTCTTCAATTGACCGTAATAATTTATGGAGGTTTATTGGTTGGCATATGAATAGCTCCCGGACGTGAAAATCAAAAAAATGGTTCATTCAATGAAACATCCGTCTGAAAGACGGTATAATTTTCCCATGAATCCGAATTTCAGGCGTCTTCCGCTTGGACTTTGGCGGCGGAATTCATGACAGCACATGTCCAAATTGCTCAGCCGTGGCTATGGCAGCAGCAGCGATTGGTCCACGTCCGACAGGCGTCGAGCATTTCCCGAATCTGCCACCAGGTTTGATGCCGCCACCGGCGATGATGCCGCTAGTGCCAGGGATGCCACTACTGACACGGCATTTCTCTCCGTATGTCTTTCGCCAGACACCTCCCCCAACATCTCAGCCTCATCCACACTTATGACATCATCCTGGTAATTAGCCACATAATCAGATTATATTAGAGTTTCTAATCGATACTAGTCGATTGTGATTGTAATGGGTAGTCTACCAGCCACACTGAATGGCCTGAGCCTAGTTAGAGAGCAACATACTTAAAAACAGTGTTATCTCAAAGTAATGTCCGATATCTCCACAAAACTGTCGCCTTGTGCGAGTGGATTCAAATTTATATCGTGGCATCAAGAGGAAACTTTGGCACGGACCTTGGATTAGGAGTAGTTAGCGATTTTATTCACATTTGGCTAGAACAGGTTTTCAGCGCTCCGCATAGAAAGCGCCTCACAACCTGGTAATCTAGCCTAGCATTATTGTGACAAAATGTGAGTTTTATTCAAATGTACGTTATCAGTTACTTTTCTTTAGAAAAAATTATGCACTCTTCATGTTTTAAGAGTAGGATTTTGTGAGCTTTATTTGTTCACATTTCTGATATGTAGGTGCTTGTGAGAATCGAAAGGAAAATGTCACTCACTGAAATAAGTTCTTACAAAGTTTTCTTTCTATGCTGTACCATTTCTTGACTTTTCTTTTACTTCTTAAATTTTGTGAAGTCGGATCCGGTTATCAGGGGGTTCAAGGAATGGTGCGATGCGATTTTTGCTCATTCGGCTTACTAGGTATTGTCAAGAGTGACGATCTTAGTTGCTTAGGATGTATGCGAGCGAGTATGTCTGCAGCTGATCAGGCAACTTCCAAGTAACGGTTTCGTGAAATTCCTAGTTCATTGATCCTTACTGGATTTTAGCATGACTTTTTTTTGAGGACGGTTGATTACCGAAAATCTTGGGTGACATCAGAAACCTTTCTTTTCAAGTCGTTGCGTTTGCAAACCTGACTTAGACAACACCGACCCTTTCTGGCTTTCCCTTTTCGTTGGAGGTATAAGTACACGAAGACTTCTTGCACGATTTTTGCCCAGCTTAAGTTGGACATACATAACATCGAAACAATTTTAGGTATAGGAAAGTGGAACCTAAGCCTGGACAAGGCAAGAAAGTGATATGATATATATTCAGTGGAAAAGAACCGGGGCGGTCAATGAATTCGTAAAGGGAGTTGGTTCGACAGAAATGATTAGTTGTTTTAGAGCTGCTCTTCCACCTTATATGATTCCTTGTTCCAATGAAAGCCGAAAGAGTCAGTCAATCAAGTGATTCATGTGCGTGCTGATAAACTGCAGGGTAACATAGGGAGTAAGGGTAATGGGAATGTGTAAGTGTGAATGGACAAATGGCTGGATCCGACAGTATGCTTTTCAAATCCCGGTTTTGTCTTTCCAGTCAGTTGTCTTCGTTTCTCGTTTCTTCTCGCCCAGCACTATTGCTCGATTAATTCTCAAATAAATGTCTTATCAGCCGGCATCATTATCCGTTATCAGTCCCAATCCATGTATCATCGTCTCTTTTTTTCCAATTTCTAACTGATTTTATTTTTGCATCGTGTATTGCCTTTGCCAGAGGGGATAACGGCAGTCCGGCTATTTTCATTGTGATGATAAAGGCGTTACAAAATATCTAAAAGCTGATCGTCAATACTTTTCTCACGATCGCTGGAAGGATATTATGTCCAGCCGAACCCTTATTGTAAACTGGTCATTCATTCATCTAGTTCTTGTGTTTTGGTTTTCTTTTTTTTTTTGTTCTACACATAATTATTTGCGATCACTGATTTAGGATGCTATTTTTCTCCATGTTATTACCAAATGTTAGCCATATTTTTGAATGCTACATGCGCATAAATCATGTGGTGCCATTTTCAAAAGCTGGATCAAGTTCAGACCTAAAATTTGGGTTACTTATCGATTACCAAATGCAATACAAGTTTGATTCTATCTTCGTCTTCCCTTGGCTTCACCACTCATCAGTCTCAAATCTCTCGACCAGAGCGACCAGCAAAAAGGGATTTGATATCAATAGCTCAGAACTTACAAGAACTTCAAGCTTTATTAGTGTCATGAAATCAATTTGATAGACCATGTAATGTATGACAGGCATTCGTACATCACCTTTCTTTACTGAATCGCTGATCCGACCACTATTACTATTATATTACTCTCTGAACACCACGTTGTAGATAGAGAAAAGAGAATTGTCAAATAAGATTCGCAGAAAAGTCAGCTGTTGTACATGACAATCATATATGACTAATAGCTGGTCAAAATCCAAACTAGTCAACATGAGGAAGGAATGCTCAACAGGACGCAACAGTATGCGATGACCAATATATAGTTTAGCTAAAATTATGGATGCGTCTGTTATGGACTGTAGCGTATCGCGTTGCTAGGGCAGTTTACGGTTATTAGCTGGACATATTCCAGCAAACCATGAACATACCGTAGTAAAACGATGCAAGCAGACACAACTACATCAACGGTTTCCCTTGCTTCACATCGAAGAACAGGATTCAACTTAAACATAGACAAAATCCATTGCTACAGTAGTGGTTATATTACACAAGTAGTTCATCTATTAAAGGCTATTATTAACAGCGAAAAAACCAGTACCAGAAAGAAAACCAATATTGGGCTCGTTGAGCACAAGGAATGGCATGTGATATGCGCCATGCTGCACTGGAGGAGGGGTACGACCGGTCAGTGTTGCTCGATTATAACGACGAGCAGGATAGCCACCTCTATACGAAGGAGCAGCACCGAACGAAGGAGAAGCGAGTCGCGGATCCCAGCGTCGGTCACGGCTGCCTTCACCATGACTACTTTCAGGAGTTCGTCCACGGTTCCATGGCAATGGACGATAGCTGTTTGCAGGCTCTGTAGTGTTACCAGCACTAGTTCTTGGCGATGGCACGGAGGAATTGGTGTTATTCTGATCGATGGTGTTGGCTCGAGGATTCGAATTTTCTTGCGGCGTATTCCTCCCATTTCTGTGATAAGAGCGCCTACCAGAGAAAGGGTGACTGCTTTGGTATGCCGAACGAGTCCTTTCGGAAGCTGCGCTAGGCTCGTCTCCTGAAAACAATGGTAACACTAATTTTAAAAAAGGTACGGCGGAGAAATGTCTTACTTCTCCCTACTGGAGTACTTGCACGGTGCTGAGAATGTAATATATCAGCAAAACGTCTCGCAAAAGAAAGTGGAGTGGTTCGAGGACGCCTCGGTTGACGATTTCTGTTCACATGTAAGCCAAGGAAACGCATAGCATCCGTCACGCTCGAATCAGTTGTACTGAAAAAAAGTAGTAGAATGTCCTAAAAACGAACTTCTCAAGCGGAATAGAGATTGCACATACTGCCCAAGCGCAGATTGATGACGTCTCCCTAGCACATGAGTTCGATGGCTGTCGGTGTTCGTTGGAAGTCGGCAGTGGCACAGACTACAGTATGAGTATGAGCCAAACGTACCATCAAATGTCTGAATAAGCTGAATCCACGCAATTACAAAAAACATTTCGCAAATCTTAACTCCTATTAAAATAAAAATTGGTGAAGGTCTTAATGCTCAACAATACTCAAGACACTAAGCTGGAATAGCAAAGGAAATTTACCGAAATATGTGAGAAAGGGGACTCCTCCCTCGGCTCGATAAATGTTGAGTAATTCTCGTTCTCTTGTGAGGACACCTCACTAGCGCTAACGGCTGTTTCGTGACTGGTTTCGCTTCCAAATAAGGAAAATTCGGAATATGCATTCGGAGGGCTGAAATTGTGCTTCAAAGGTCCATACATGCAACAATGTTTCGTGAACTTATATCCTCACACGAGCAAGCAGCTTGTGCAATCAAAAAAGGTTTTTAGCTTAAAAGCATACGTGTCTGAATCCAAGCCCAGGAAATCATGAATCCTGTCGAA